GAAACAAAATTTTTTCCTGTCTGTGGGCTAGTAAAATATTCTGTGGGCTAGTAAAATCTCTAGTAAACTAGCCCAGTGGGCTAGTTACCAAAAAAAGTTAGGGCAAGCCCTGGACAGTGTAGGTGTGGGTGGGTGGGGGTTTGTTAGGAAATATAAAGAATAAAATATTGCGTAAAATTTGTAATTATAATTATGTAATTAGTAATAAATATTCATTATTGCTCTAAAGCATGGCCACTTGACACAAGTGTGTTCCTTCTCAGTATGCTAGTATTACATTTTTAAATTATATAATTAACTATCCTACTTACCCTGTTAGTTTGTTCAATATTGGCAGCCAATTTCTTCCCCCCCCCCCCTTCTCAGTTGCCTGCCTTCTCAAGTATTGGATAAATATTATCGTCACATCTTGGCTCACTTTCAGACATGTGACTGTTGATGTTGATTGCTATAATAAAGAAAAAATAATATTCAATTTAACAACCTGTTTTTGTATAATGTTGAAATGAAGAAAATTAAATGAAATAATCGATAAATAAAATACTCAGATTTCCTCAATCAAACAACTCCAGTTATTTCGTTATGTGTCAACTGTGCAGACTACCCACGTTAAAACTTCATTTTTACTTCAAACTTCAAATTTATTTCGCCAATGACATAAACAAGACACACAATGGTGAGAGACCAGTTTAGAAGCCTAGGCTTGTCTCAGCTGTCCCTTAACAGATACAAGGACAGCAAAAAAAAACAAAAAACAAAAAACAAAAAACAAAACTAACAAAAAAAGATGAAATAAACAAACAAAACAAACCAGAGCCTTGCAGGTGTCAACGCTCCTATGCATGATACATGACTTAACCAACCATTTTTTCTGATTAAGTCATCATTAATGACATAATCAGAAAATACTGTATGGTTGGGCCAAATTTGTATGGTGGTTAAAAAATTCAGGGGGAGTCTTTATTGTGATTTTAGACTACATTGGAAATGTAATTTGATAGGCAAATTACAGTAATATTTTTAGCAAATTTCTTTGAAAAAAATTCGTAGGCCTAAGGCCTAGGCCTAGCTATACGATACGATACATTGGGTTCACTTTTAGATTGGTGGCACCCATCAATTTGAAGGTGCACCTATTAACAATATAAAATATAAACAATGGAAAGCAGAAGACAGTTAAAAAAAAACCGGATAAATAGCATAACAAAAATAAAACCAAGCAATTTACAGTAAAGTTTTACCCTTATTAAAAAATTCTTACTATACTTATTTTTTTATTTTATTTATTCATTCTGAAGTAATTATAAGTAAAATACATTCAAGGATAAAAACACAGAAAAGTACAAAAAAGCAACTTATTTTCACTGTGGTCCCTAAATGAGAATACTTAAATTACAGAATAATACAAAATCAAAACAACAAAGTCAAATTCAATAATAAAAAAAAGACATCATATAAATAAAGCTATATATAATAAAGTTCAGATAAATAATGGCTTTTTATGAGCTTTTTAAAAGTGTATATGGATTGTGAATTTTGAACATTATAAGGTAATTATTCCATTCATCGATTGCGGTATCGATGAATGAGAATCTACTATGTGTACCAGATTTTTGTTTATAAATTTTGTCATTCTAGAAGTCAAAAATCTAGTATTACAGTTATGAAATTGGTTAGTAAATTCAATGCCAGTATTTAAATATATAAGGGAAATGCCATTAATAATTTTAAAAATTTGAATACATTTTCGTTCAGCAACTCTAGTAGAAACAGGTAGCCAATTTAATTTTTTTAATTCATTATAACCAACATGGGTTCGTGGATGTAGTCCCAAAACACATCTTATAACCTTATTTTGGGATGTTTGAAATTTATATTTAAGTTTTTTAGAAAGCGAAGAGAACCATGTATCACCCATAGTCATAGTGACATTGAATAAGTGAGGACGCAAGCAATTTGAGTGATTTATACGTTAAATATTTCCTATTTCTGAAAAGAAATTTAAGTCTACCATGTACCTTACCTAAAACTTTCGTACCAGTGGATTTACCATTAAGGTGCTGATCAAGGTCAAGACCCAGGTACTTGATACAGGTTCTGGCATTTACTTTGCAATTATTAAAGGTAATATCCAGTTTTGATTGTTTTCTACTTATATTTCGTGTTCCATACAGTATGGATTCGGTTTTGTCTAAATGTTAATTTATTATCAACAAGCCAATTATTTATAGATTTTAACTCTCCATTTAGTTGAGTTTCAATATTTTTTACATTATTACTTGATACCAATAACGCTGCATCATCAGCATACAATAATACAGTCGAGTTTGCATAAGTCGAATCTAATGGGACTGGCATAAAAAGTTCGAGTTATACAGATTTCAACTTGCACATTTTCGAAAAAAAAATATTAACATAGAACAATACTATGTGTACTCAATGCCCACAAAATCGAATTTCACGCAAAACCAAACATTTTCTTAAGTCCCAAACTCATTCCTATTCTTCTTTTAATAAAATACTTTCCGAAAACATGAACTCCCTATTCCAAATCTCGGACGATTTGTCAAATTCAGGACGGTAACACTCACTCGAAAAACCAGACGATAGTTTAACGACATCGTTCAACGACAAGCATACCAGACGCTGTGAAAACGAGA